ATTCAGTGGATAAAATAAATAAATTTACCAAAATCGTAAAAGTGGACGTGGACGCGTGGCAGTGTGTTTGACTTCCACGCGAAAAGCCGGGGAACGATTCTAGGCTGGCGATTTTTTTTTTTCATATTTATTTGATTTTAAAAATCTGTAAAATTTATAAATTATTTTAAAATTAGTTATTTTGTCTTAATAACCTAAAATATTTATTTTATTTGTAACATATGTACAACTCGAGTGGATTGTCCACATCGGACTCAGACGATTGAGCATTCCCCTACGGCGTCGTGCTCAAATTTCATCTTCGTGCGATATAGCCATCATATCCACTCTTGTTGCACAAACTACTATATAGTGTAAGCTGATAATATAAGAAAGTTAGTATAATAGTGAAAGAAAACATGAAATTGCAAAACATCTAGGAAACGAAAATAATTTTTTTCTATACTCACAAGGATATTAGATTATCTACACATAGAGTACAAAACGAAAAAGAATGGTATTGCGTTTAGTTAAACAAATATATTTCATATCCATTATAGGTAGTAAGAACACTACAAAAAATAAAATCCACCAATCACAGTTCCTATTTTGATCAACCCAGCAAGCACACATACGTACATAAGACGTACTATGTACGTACTGATGGGACGTAAAGTACGTACCATGTACGTACTTTACTGTACGAAGTACGTACATAGTACGTACATAATACGTACATTTTCCAAACGACGGTACGTACCTAGTACGTACTTAAAGTACGTACTCTGTACATACCTAATGTACGTACTCTGTACGTACCTAATGTACGTACTGTGTACGTACTTAATGTACGTACTGTGTACGTACTTAATGTACATACTATGTACGTACTATGTTTGCACTTACTTACTTATGATGTAAAATGTACATATTAGTACAATACAAAAAAAAGTAAACAAGTTAATTTGCATGTATTTAATTTTTTACATTAAAAGAATAATTTAAATTGTTTTGCTATGTTTTTTTAAAGTTTTTAGACTATCATCAGCTTTCTTAGCCATCTCACAATTTCCTGTTCTGCAACCTTCTTCTCTTTGCATTTGCTACTTTTTACAGCACCTTCTGCAAAGAAATAATATCAAATTAGAAACTTAACTTGGGTACTTTTTATAATAAGTAATATAATAAAAACAACATAACAAAAAGATGTAGAGTAAAGTAAGCGATAGTTTCTACGGCTCAAAATTATCATTGTCAATATACTCCTGGATGTAAACCTCTCTAATTTGTATCCACCTCTTTTGGCTTTATGCCTTTGAAATCCAATTTGTTCCTGACACTGCTTTATAATATCGGAACTCCTTTATTTCTTTTTCTCCGCCAGTTTTGAAGTCCAATGGTTGGAAGTACACAATTTCATTAGATACAAAAATAATTGTGACTGGATAGAGGGTTTTTAATGCAACAACTTTATGAAAACTGGCATGCAAAAATAAAAAATCAAAACATCTTACCCACTACAACTGCAGCCAATTATAATTTGTTGCCAGCTGATTATAGTTATTAAGGTAGCAGCTATACTCCTTTTGACAAAATCTAAAATTAAATTATTAGGGTATTAGGTGTAAAATATCACTTCTTTTGTCCTCCTGTTTATTCATTTCCTTAAACTTTTTCAATTGTTTTGTAGCATTTTTGTAATGTTTACTATGGGATGGGAGACATATCTATAAATTATATTTATTACACATAATTTTTTAAAATTAAAATGAAACCACTCACCAGAATAAAATGACCAAACTATGTACTTATAACACGCACTAAAAAGTCTAAAAGTCTTAAGAACTGTCTTGTTCAATTATAATAAATTATACACAATTATTTATTTAAAGAAACACTTAATAGTTAAATTCTTAAACATAAAAAAAACTAACAATAACAAACTGTTGAAACCGTTGAAACGTGGTTGCTTAAAAAAACGAGCGCGTTTAGTGTAGAGTTTATGTTAGGTTAAGTAAAATGTGTTTCTTTGCATTTTTTGTCTTTTTGGCCTACGGTCAACAGAAATTTGGTAAAAACTTAGGTTTTTCAATAAAATAGGTATGCAACCAGGATTACGTACACTTAGGTACGTACTTAGTACGTATTTTTCTGTACGTACTGGTACGTACTATTGTGTACGTACTTAAAACGTACATTTTAAGTCCTGTACGTACTGTACCAAAACTGTACGTACTTAAGACGTACTGTGCTGTTTGGGAACCAACTACTATGATTTATAAAATTTTAAATAAGTAACATTTCTGTCAAACTAATTGTCAGTAAAAAAATGTTTAGTTATTGAGATTAAATATACATTAAAATGAGTTATTCTTGTGTAGACTCGATAAATAATAATAGCATTTCTATTTTTGTTTGGTCTATAGTTTTATAAATATTTCATTAATTTTAATAAAACTATATAAAGTCAATTTAATTACGAGTATTAAAGAAAAAAATTTTAAGCACCTCGATGGTAGTGAGTTCAGAGCATTTGCCTTTTTTCTTGTTTATTATATTTTATAAACTAGTGAAAGTTTAAATTAGTTATTTTATCTTAATAACCTAACATAATTTTTAATACTATTTGCAGATTTTTATTAGTAGGTCGTAGAAAAAATATGCTGTACAACTCGAGTAGATTGTCCATATCACACTCAGACGATTTAGGAGCACTCCACTAATGGCGCCGTGCTCAAATTTTGTCTTCGTGCGATATGGCCATGAACAAACTACTATTGTACCTGATATAAGAATAAATTAAATAAACCTAAATCATTACAATACTTGTTAAATTCAGAACATATACAAAGATAATAGTTTTATTGGTTGAATTGAAAAATAAACTATGCCAATTAAAAAATAGTTATTTAATAACGAACAACAAAATATTTAATTCCCGGAATTAAATCGTATTAGGAATTTCCAGTATCATCTATTGTCCTCTAATATTTTAATAACAGGTAAACATGAATCAGACGACAGCTCAAATAAGGGAATAAAAAGGGATAGACACGAATTTGTTGAAGTCGACTAAAATAGTTTATGCGCGTTAATCTAACACAAATTCATTGTTTTATATGACAAATCGTATACCCCTATACGGTAAACAGAGATATCAATCAAGTAAGAAAGGGATATGGGAGGTATATTTTATGGTATTTGTTGTGGCACTGCTTACAGTTTTTGAATTTTATGTATGTAGGTATATTATGTAAAACTATTCGAGTCCATTGACTGCTTTTTGCATGGAATTCCAATAGTTTCTTCTACCTGGTATCATTGATTCCAAAATAGTTTTTACATCTTACAAAACATTAACTTAGTAAAATTATCTAAATAAAAATTGACATCTTATTTTCATATGTAATATGCATATACATACACAATTTGATTTATATAAGTTTTTGCTAAGAAAGTTAAAATGGTTTATTTGTATTTTAGCATACTATAATTTAAACTTTTTATGACAAGAAAGGTAATTTATAAACTAGAAATAAACTTTTCAAATTTCTTCCTAAAACGATACTAATTCCGGGTCTGCTTATGTAAATTTCTCAACGGTTGAAGGCTTGAAAGCAGAAGTAGAAAACTATTCTTCGATGGTTAGATATTTTTAAGTTCCTTTACTCACTGCCGGGGACCGCCACGTCCCGGGACACCTTCATTGCGGAAAGTTATACCCATCTTTTTCTTGCACGAAATGCGATTCCTTGTGTGTCAGACGCAAGCCTTGGTCACAGACCATACCCTTTAGCCTTGGTTCGCAAAGGTTTGGAACCGACTTATAGGTAGCATTTCTTGTTGGTAAACTGTTATACTCTTCAACCAACTTTAGTAAACGAAGAGGCTTTTTTATATTTTTAAAAACATTTTGCATAACTAAGATTAGTAATTTTTATTTTGTTCAATACTATTTAGATTATAAAGACGGTGAAATTAAATATTATGCGATACATTAATGTGGTCTAATTAAACAAAGCATTAACATTTGACCATTTATTTTTAAAAGATAAATATATAATATATAATCACGTACCTCCTTACTGTAGAAAACGCTTTTATTGCTGTTTACATTTTCCTTTAATACGCAAACTCGGAAAAATATCTGTAAACCTTTATCACCAAATACCGCTTATATTCTTATTAGAATTTACAGAAAAAAGCATTGTATACGAAAACATTGGCCAACATAACTTTAACCAACCAACGACGAAAAACTACTAGCCCTTATTTACTGCAAGCGTTCAGATTGCGTTTTATATCAGGCAGACAGAGCTGTTGCATCGGCTGACGCAATTAGAAAAAGGGAGATGGCTGTTATTTGAATGAGGATTTGCGTGAGGTTGTTTATCTGAGGATAACAGCGTGAATGTTTGCAATTCGATTTTTGTAAACAAAATTAGTCTAGTAGTTGTTCGTCGTTGATTCTGACTTTTAATATAAGTTGATAACTATTTATTAAACAAATTATCATAGCTTATTTACCCAGTTAAAGTTAGGTTCAAAACCCACTAGTCACTGGTACTAACGCCCTAGCTTATTCTACTATTCTTAATATTGTATTGAGACCAAATCAAAATGTTTTAGTTGTGTAGTAGGTATAAATACATTTTAAATAATTTAAATATGATATATTTTCTTTCAATGTTGTTTCTAATGTTTCCATTTATATTTACAAATTCTTCATAAAAAAAGAGCTATTATTTAATATTTAAAAAAATACTTAAGGGAGCTAGACCTCTAAAGATGGCGGTTTAATTATATACTAATAGAACATAACAACAAAATTTCAGATGCTCGTGAGGTAAAACTGTACTGTCCTCAATTTTATAAGTACTTTGATCGCTTCGCCGGCTTATAAGTCAGTTTACAGGATTAGAATTTTGACCGCTGTGAGGAACTCGGCTATACCGATATGGCTAATTGTATGGTCTAAATACGATTTTTTAATTGTAGTCATAAGCGATTCATTTGAAAGAGATAATCGACATGAAAAGGGCTCTAGAATATGCAGTTTATTGTTGTAAAGAGAATTTTTAGACATCCTGTATACATGGTCCTGCAACTGAGACATCTTTTATAGCTCGCATTCCATAAAACAAATAACAAATGTAGATGTAGAGCTATCATGTAAAAATATATTTAATCAGTGTCGGATTGGGACCTCCAGGTCCTTACCGGTCAGGACGGTGAAGAGCCCTCCTAACATTTTTTTTTCATGGGCCGATTCCTAAAAGAGCAAAAAAATTCTTCTTTGCACACTGATGCTTTTTCTGTTTATCTGTTTATTTATTGTTATCAAGAACCCATTGGCTAAACGAGTGCCCACTGACTGAACAAGAGCCCACTGCCTGAACGAGGGTCCACTGCTTGGCCAAAGGGTCTACCAGTCTTTGGACCGGTAAGCCTACGGCCCAATCCGACACTGCATTCAATTATAAAGTATGTAACAAAAAAATCGGATTCCTAAGAGAGGACTGTATATTTGTACATTTTTTGAAGTATCAGAGGTGACGATTTATTTATTCATGGTAAAAATTTTAATTTTACTAACAGCACCGTTCGGAAGCAATAAATTTTTACATAAGCTTCTACATCTCTAATACATTATTATACATTTTTTTTAAACATGTTATTAATATGGAACACCAGTCATGAAAAACCACGCCAGATAAGTATTTATTGCAGAAACTACTGTCTAAAAAAATGACTTATAATTTCACTTTAACTTTAATATTAATTTTCTTCATCTTCCTCTTCTTCGGAAATATATTTCCTTTGAGTACGTTTTCTTCTATTACTACTATTAACAGTACAGAGCTTTTTGCTCTTGAGCTTAATTTTCATTTTAATTGTCGATTCACTTTCAGATTGTTCTTTGCTATCTTCTGGTTCCGATTCTTCACCATCTGTATCTATTCTTTGTTTAGCGTTCGAAAATACTGACTGCAAAACAATGCTATCTTCATGGATTAGGGAAGCTTCTTCATTGTAAATTTGAGCGTTCTGACAAAGTAACATAAAATCTCTTTCAAGATCGACAAAGTCTGTATACTAAAAACAAAATGATTAAATTTAAAGGCAAAAACTCATAAATACTATATACTAATAAGCTGAGGATGATGGAGTGTGTAGAACACAATAGAGAATTACTGATGATAAAGGACAATAATAGTAATTTTTATATGAAACAAATCTATAGATAATTAAATATAAAATATATACCTTTCCATCTTCAACTCTACTTAAAATTTTAGTGATGTCTATTGGTTTTTTAATAATCTCGTAATAATCAGGATATTCCTTTCTAGCAGGCAATTTTAGGAATGGTTCACTTAATAAACGGCCATCACTAAAAGATACATAACCGTTCTACAATCAATAAAATTAAGTATTCATATCATTACCTGTCTGTGTATTTCATTACGATTCCCAACAATTTTCTCATTTGCATTTTTAATTTTATATCACCAATGTGTCCTTTAGTTTTTCGTTTACTATGAGTACTATTAGTCCCTACATCACTATCAGAGTCCTCTCGTTTTCTTTTTCGATTTTTCTTTTTCTTTGACCTTTCATCTTCTTTGTCTTCTACTTCGCCTTCAAATTCACGCGTATCATCTATAACCTGACATTAAATCAATATTAGTAATTTAATTAATAAAAAAATTGAATTAATAATTAAGTAACCAGCAGCGAAATGCCTTATTTTGTATATTTAACTTTTGATCTAATTTAATTAAAAATTACCATAAAAATGTTTAACTTACATTTAACCAATCTTTTTCAGTCAAACTATCTGTATAATCGACTTCTTTTCTATGTCTTGTTCCCCTTCCTAAGATACTTTCATTATCTTCATAATTCCATGCATCTACCTCATCGTCTTCTTTAACCAACCAATCTGGAAGTTCGCTTATTTCTAATAATCTAGATTTTCTTGATGCTCCCAATTTAGCATCATCCCTCTTTCTTTCTAAGTCCATTTTTTGAAAAAGATCAAACTCGGCCTCAGACCTAGCAACCATTTGGTTTACAGTTTCATCATCAGGAACTTCATTTTCTTCCTGAAACCGCCGATATGAAGTATAGAGGTGACAATTGATATCATTTTATAAATTTTATAACAATTTATACTAGATACTGTTGCTTTTATTCAAATTAGGTATTCTAACTAACGACCTGTCAAACAGTAACTGCCAGTAGGAAGTGCTCGTAAATCTAAGGGGGGTTGTTACATAGCCTTTCATCTAGTAGTCCAATTAAATAACGAAAAAAAGCCCCTTCGAGCTTACATTAATTTGTAATTGGATGAAACAAAAAGGACCTTGTGTATTTTGATGTGATCTTTCCGAAAAAAAGAAAAAAAAGATGTAGCAGTTTTTCAATTTTTTTTAAATTAGGAAAAACCGGGTTTTCCGGAATTTTCCATTGTAAAAATGCTAATTATCTGGGCAAGTATCATTCCGATAGTGAAAATAAATGCACCATTCGAAAGAGGAGGCAAAAATAGTTCGGAAATTAATTGCACAGGTAGTCTTAATGATCAGAACCATGGACATGAAATTTGCGATGAATTTGTGGCGAAATTATAAATGTTAGACATATGTGCCCATGAGAGAAGTTGCGTATTTTTTTGTTGGCTCTCAAATAAAATAAGTCCCGCGGCGAAATCTGACATAATTTTTCGGGAATTCGCAGGAAACCAGAGGCGTAGTTTTTTTTTTAATTTTTTTCCCATATGATTTTTTCCGGGTTTTCCGAAAACATCTAACAAAAAAATATATTTGAAAAAACTAACTTCGCCATCGAAAAGAGCACAAAAAAATACACAAAAAGGTATACTTTAAAAATGTTAAGAAATTAATCCTAAGCCTGAGTGTAAGTTCCAACTTGGTGATAAGCTTGCTTTTTGTTCGCTAATATCTGGTAATTCTATATTTTGCACAAAACTCAAGAAACGTCTTATAACAAGTCAGTAAAATACAATTTAATAAATTTTAAGCCTAATAAATTTAGATATGTAAGAAATTTAAAACTGGAAATCGCAAAAAAAATCAAATTATTGTAATGTAGTGTATACACGAGTTTTGGATCCCGCAAAGCGCGTGTAATGGGACTTTTGTCGGGAGAATTCTACAACTTAGAAGAAACATACACACTTTAAACTTTGTATACACATTTAGAAGACATGAAATTTGGGTTTGTTTAATTTTCAGACAAAAAAACTAAAAATTGTCAATTTTCTCAAAAACCGTGTTTTTTGGTCGTCACTCAATGAACAGTGGTCAAAAAAATAGATAAAATATATTTGCAGAATTTTCCGTAATGTAATCGTATTCTAGACACAATAGAGTACTCAAAAAAAAAAAAAAGTTTTGAGCCATTGGGTGCATTTTTGGCATTTTTTGCATTTTTGTGCCACTTCAAACTTTCCAAAAAAAAATTATTTTTTTTAAGGAAAAAAAAATTATTTAATTGTTTGATCTTAGCCAATTATGGTCCGATGTCAGTGAAATTCACACACACATAAGATTTCACATTTAAGAGTAAGCTTTGTAAGTGGCATTAAAAAAATTCAAATAGTTTGGCCGTTATAGGCAAACAATGAAATTAGGACCGCGGTGCATTTTGCCCTTCCGCCATATGCCCAATTTTGGGATTTCTCTTGCCCCCTTCTGGGAATCACTAGTCACATCCCTTAAGTTCAAAACGCATTTTAATTTTTTCAAATATCTTAATTTTTACCAATGTTATAAAGAATTTAGTGTTTGAACATTTAACAAATTCAATTTTTCGACCTTCGTCGCCTCAAAATACTAAACAAATTTCAATCGTCCATACCGCGAGAACGGTGCATCGGATAAAAATTTCTCAAGAGACATAAAAATTAGCATTTTTCCTAAGCTTTCAAACGTCGTAAACTGCGTTTTAAAAATATTGATTTATTTCCGACATGCGCCTGCGCAAAATTGAAAAATTGACAAAATCCAAAATTTCGGCACTTTCAAAAAACTGCTACATTTTGTTTTGCCTTTTTTCGAAAAGATCACCTCAAAATACATAGAATCCATTTTGTTTCATCTAATTACAATTTAATGTAAGCTCAAAACCCGTAATTTAATTCGATTATAGGACGTTATTTTAATTTGAAATAGTAGTAGCCAAGCCCGCCAATGTATAGAAAATGTATAAGCGGTTTTTTTTAAAATAATATTGTCATTGTGTTCGAAAGAAAATATTTAAATTTAATCCATTTTGTATGATTTCGCGTATTGTAGATAAACTACATCGTATGTCGCCATCCTTTAGACCAGGGATTCCGAAACTATTTTGGGCAAGATACCCCTTTTCCAAAATGGACTTTTACCACAGACCCCCACAGCCAAATTACTTTAAAAATGCTTACCAATTTAAAAACTTTGCGGTTGGATAAGTTCTCATCAAAATTTAACAAAATAAATAGACATAAAATTCAGTAAATATCAAGTGTATTTAATAATTATTAATACAAATTACGTAAAAATACTTAAGTAGGTAATTATTAAAAAAAAAAACTTTAAAATCGCAAAGTAAAGATAAAAATGGGTAAAGTATTTTACCTAGAACTTCCCTCGATATAGAAATTATAAAAACAAGGAACTCAATACTTAAATTTTAATAATTTAAAATTACATCCACCAAAACAGAAACCCTTTTTCACATTTCTCTCTCCATCGATCTTCCCCTTGATTCCACCCGAATTCTCACATCGCGTCCACTCGTTATTCTTCGTCACGATCACCGTTATAGACCAGGGTCGATAATTTTTGAAACAAAAAAAAAATAATAATAATAGGATGACACCCTTTGGAAAAGGAAGAGAATATAACAAAAATTAAAGGAAAAATAATTTACGGGCGATCTGTGGTCGGGAAGTGAATGGGGGTGAGTTTTTAAGGATAAAAAACGGTTTATCTCGATTTCCGGAGAAACTACAAGTCCTATGGAAAAAAGTTAAAAACTCACCCCCATCCACTTCCCGACCTCAGATCGCTCGTATATTATTTTTCCTTTCATTTTTGTTATATTCTCTTCTTTTTCCAATGGGTTTCATCCTACTATTATTTTTTTTTTCACTTTTTACCATTTTCAAAGGCTTCAGCCCTGGTCTATTATTAAACAATAATGATTGGTTGGTTTTAAAATGGTCCAGTTACACAAACTAACAGGACAATTTTAATTAATTCCATTCAAGTGGGACCTTTTTTGGTTAAATACGATTCCTTTCATTTTGAATTTTTAAAAAATTATTTGGAATCTGTAATCTTTAACTTCTGACATTCTCAGATACCAATTTTAGTCGAAATCTGCCGACTTTTAAAAATAATTTTAAAAATAATTTTTATTTTAAAAACTGCTTACTCTGAATATAACTGATCGGAAGTATAACTGGGTTTGAGCCAGAAAAGAACCTTATCTGCTTATAAAATTTGGTGGCTTTCGTTGATTTTCAAATGGTTTCTTTATTTTGTCAGAATGTTTGTAATCACACTGAAGCATTTTTCGACTAGGTATGATGATAGAAAAGCGAAAACATATATTTCTACACCCACATGGATATTAGCTTATCTACGCACAGATTACAAAACGAAAAAGTATGCTATTCCCTTCAACTGAACGAATATATTTCATATCCATTCTAGGTAGTGAGAACACTGCAAAAAAATGAAATCCACCAATTACCGTTCATATTTTGATCAACCAAAATTTTCAACTAGGTTACTTGAAATTTTTTTGTGATTTTTTAATATTAATTTCTCAATAAGTTTCACGGTTTACTATATATATTTTATTGAATAAAACAAAATCTAAATATTTCAAAAACCTTATTTTTAGTTTTTTTCTACTCCATCTAATCAATAAATAATAGGATAAGGTTCTTTCGTTTGTCCCATTGGTTAGGAATGAACTCTACCAACGCACACCAAACCTTTCGTTTGGCGCGATGGTAAAAATCCACTACACCTTCCTGACAGCGATGTGGTGTCCACTGGTGGATATTTTCCCCACCAGCCATTTAGCAGCAATGAATTATACTCGACATGTTAATCAGGAATAAGAAGCAAGTAAAATAAAGGTGGTGTAATTGGTGTAATTTACACTGGTGGGACACTGCACCAACAGCGAACGAAAGAACCTATAATGTTAATAAAAACCAACATTGATGGAAGGTTGTATTTTTTAATTAGGGAAACCGAAGGATAGAATTCCAACAGTCCCAGACAGGTAAAAAAACCTGGCCACTTCACTTAGAGGGACGACGAGAACCTAGGGAAAGGTCTTTATCGTACCATAAATAAAATTTCATTTCAGTTCCAGTGCAAATCGTTCATTTACAAACTTCCAATAAACAAAACAATATATAAAAGCGTACAATAAAAAACCTTGTGGTAATGATTTTGTGTTTTCGTTATTTGAGGATTTGAATGGCTTTATTGATCTTCCTTTATCATTATTTGTTGGACTCAGAAATCCATCACAAGAGTGGATGGAAAAGGTAGAAATCTATGTAGAAAAAAAATGGAAAAATATTTTTAAAAATTCCACAAGAAAATACTTCAATTGAAAAAAAAACCGGACTGCATCTAACAAAAAGAGACGAAATATGTTTTCTTCAGAAATAAATAAATGCATGATGGTTGTTATGGATTATTCCTTGGATGCAAATCTACGCCATTTCAAGTCAAGAGGCCGCAATTGTTGCAGACGTGTGATAAAAGAGTTTGTCAGTCGATTTGGAATGCCCTTGGAGATGAACAGTGACCAAGACAGACATTTTGAAAGCCAGCTTTTCCGAGGAAACTGCGACAGACTACGCCTGAAGAAAACCAGAACTACAGTATTGCATTCACCGTAGGATGGAATGGTAGAGCGAATAAATAAGACCTTTGCAAATACCAAGGGGCCAATCCATGATCAACCACTCCAGAAATACTGGTACGTTTCCACTCAAAATCACCGAAATCACTACAAATTTTCTCGAAATCATAATCGAAAATAATGGTCGAAATCATCACCGAAATCACTTCGAAATCAATTTCGTCGCTCAAAAATGTAAATGCAGCAGCTTGTGGGTCAAAAGACAAGAAAATAGCCCAAAAAAAGGTAATCGTATAAAATTAAGGGAAATTTTCTTTTCAACGAATTTACCTAAATCACTTATAAATGTTTTAGGTGATTTCCGAAATACAGGTTCGTTTTGACTTTTCCCCCTCGGCAAATACGTATCAAAAGTGGTTTCCAACCATTAACGAGATAAGTATCTTTTGCTCTTCCTTATTTCCTAGATCTGCCGTCAGTGAATCAACAGAAAAATGGGCGACATGCATGCTCACGCTTCTAAAGACTACTTTCTGGTACATGTCATAGCATTTCAGCCAGCATCAATGACGTACGAGGACTGGCCTGTTTTCCGGAAGAAGTTTGGTCAATTACCAGAATTTTAAGGCCAGTTACCAGTTTCTAGAAAAGCTTTGAAATTTCAAGATAACACTTTCCACAATCGATCCACTTATAATGATGTATGCATTACTTAGTTTGAAGGAGTACGTACTGGAGTTCAATATACAGAAACTAGCCATATCGAAGATAGAGTGCAACTAGTTGTATTGAAGAATCATTCGAAACATGGTGGAAGTAAATTTTCAAGATACCAAATACTGGTCTGCAGCAATTTGCGCAGTGTCCAGAGTTCAGCGAAGACTGTCCCTACCATCCCATGTAACTGGAAATTGTAAAAGGATTCAGTTCTAGATACAACCATTTAGTTACAGTTCCGTAAAGTTCCAGGAAAAACTATGGCTTAAGGAAGAGGCAATGTCATGCGAGTAATTTTCGACCAGTCTGGGCTTGCTATAATTTCGTAAGTCAATCTCTGCATTATTTGGATCTTTTATGGCCTCCATTACAAAAAAATATTCGATGAAATAAGTCAGCCTCCGGAGCCTTCTATGACCGTATATCGATGTTGCCAGTCGTAGTGAATCGTAATTATTCTGAAATATACTGAACCCTTTAATGAATGATAAATATATTAGAAATTCTGATAGATGCACCAGTCTAGAAAATGGTGGAGGTGGCTATTTTTAGTCGAAAGGCGTCTAGAATCTTCGAGAAGAAGTCTCGAGCGCTACATTTTTATATAAATAGTCCATTTTTGCCTTAAAGTTCAGTTTTATTCAAGAGATTGTATTTTTAAGTCCGGAAAATAGGGAAATACAAAACGAATCGATTTGGTATACAGACGGTTGGAAGACAAAAACAGCGTATCACCTGAGATTTACCATCACTGACAAGAGTCTTCCAGGCTGAAATAGAAGCAATACATTTCTGTGCCTAGGTTATGCTAAATGACTCGATCTCTTAGAGAAAAGTGGGTCTTTATTATGACAGTCAGGTAGCCCTTAAAGTACTGAAAAGGGTAGAATTACAATCTAACTTAATATTTGATTGCCAACAGTACCTCCATGCCCTGGCAGAACATAACAGGGTCACTCTTGAATAGATGCCGGCACATGAGAAGTGGAGTGTTTGTAACCGTGAAAGTAGACCTCCTAGCCAGGAAGGGAGCTGAGTAAACTCTAATTGAACCAGAACCCCATGTGTTATTTCATATTAACATGTTAAATGAGTACTAATGGAACAGTAAAATCGAAAACATTATAGGCTCTGGTTAGAACTTCCTGGAGTTAGGCAGTGCATAATATTCATAGAGGGTCCATACAAGAGCAGATAAAATCAACTGCTAAACCTTATAGCAGGAGCGAACTAAAGGCCGTTATAGGGCTCTTTACTGCTGCCTTAGAAGACACCTAAATCTCTTCTGAATATCCGATGACTGCCACTGTAGAATATGCGAAGAGGAGAACAAAACTCCTATTCACTTCCTATGCCACTGCCGGAACCTTAAATGGGAATGGCACTTCGGGGTTCAATATTAATCTAATGGAGTAGAAATAGGTCCATTGGACGTCCATTTGATATACAGTTTTGGGTGTCCGGACGTCCAAACATTTTTTTTTCTGGACATCCGACATCCAATGGACGTCCAGTGAAGTATACAAATGGCACACTTTTGACCATTTATAGGACGTCAAATTCTGGATTATATTTAGACGTTGAATACTGGATACTCAAAAACGTCAATTTCTGGATTATATTTCATTGAGACCATATATCCCCACTTTTTTTTAAACAACCGCAACTCGATCACATTATTTTATATTATTAATAATTTATTATTTTCGCAACCCGCTATATACCATTTGTTAATTTTGTTTTTATTATCACTTAACCTGGGTAGGGATCGAACTCACGACACGTCCAATGTAGTTATAGCCTTTCAAGCGCTAGACGATCTCGACCAGGGAGCCACTTGAAAAATTCTTACTAGATACGGTTATAATAGAATAAGATTTAATACTTCCGCTGATAGAATGATATGTAATAGATTCAATTTGTCAATTTTTAATGACCAATTTTATTAAAAAAAGTAAGTGTATATAGATGGGTTTTATCTGGTAGGATAAATAAATAATGACCTAAGATGGACGTCAAAATAATACTAACTTAAGATTAAGTCCAAAAACACGTCCTCTGGGTATCGATATGCAGCTGTCAAATTAATGTTTATAAACGGACGTACACTGGACGTTCGAATTCGGATATGGACGTTATGACCCTCAAATAAATCTAAAGTGGACGTCCATTGGACTATGTGGTGTGTAGGTACTTTATGTAACATTTTTAGGTACTGACTATAGACTAATAATTTTAGTGTTAGTTCAAAATTTGTTTTATACTTTTCAGATTTATGAAAATGTGCTATCATCATCTATGGTGTAAACTTTGAAACATGACAGTATTTAAAATTGGTATTGAGGTGACGTATTCGTGCGCATGATTTCATTGGTTTCCGCGTAGTAGCCAACATATTAGTTTCAAGATGTGAGTTTCAGGAAAAGTAAATTTTTTTTATAATTTTTAATCAATATTTTAGAGACTATAGATTCAATAATTTCATAGCTATTGTTTAATAAGATAAACTCTTTATACTGTTCTACCTACTTCTTCATCATCACCATCCTGATGCAAAATATGTTGAAGAAACTGTTGTCTTTCAGTGCCTGTAGATTTTTGGTCAAACATACCAGCCTGTATAACTTTTTCGTCCATATTTAATTTGTATCTAGCTGCTGCTAAAATTCTTTCTTCTACAGAATTAACAGTCATTAATCGCAACACTCTGACTTCGTTTTGTTGTCCAATTCGATGAGCTCTATCCTGAGCTTGGAGATCCTAAAATCGGTAATTTAATTAATTAAAATGTATATAATTTAGGCAAATTATTTTTCTAGCCCTCGAACATAATTATATATAATCTATATCTATTACAAATTTAGGATGCATTTAGTCTTTACAATTTGAAGTTTTCGAATAAATGTATTTTAGATCTTTATGGAGATTATATTTGGCCCTCCATAGTTTGCAAAAACTTTAAATGTACCTACTTTCGATGTACTTATTGATCCTTTTTTTCGGCATTTGATACACCCAATATAGGTATCCTTCCTATCTAGTGTTATTGCCGATCACCAATAATACTAACTATGAGGTAATCCATCTAATGAACTACTATGCGTAAGTAAGAAACAAATTCCATAAAAGAAAAAATATTTTTTTAATCGGTGTCTTTGGCTTCGACAACTTAGGTCATTAGCGTCGTGTTCTATGTAGGTTATGGATTGTACTAGTAGTCTAATTCTCCATAGTGCAGGAGTGCTAGCATCTACTCTAATACTCCTACAAGGCCTGTCTGTAGAAAAAGTATTGATTTTTATGAAAAAGCAAAAATGTTAATTTTGATATAATATTGACACTTTTTGACATAATAGATCTTTTTCTTTGCATCGAAAGTGAAGCACTGAGCTACGCCACTTCTGAAAATATCGTTTTGGATCGATATTTTTAGAAGTTGTGCAACTTAGTGCTACACTTTCGATGCAAGGGAATATACCTACCATTCGGATATACAAGATTTTATGCGTGTAAATGTCTAACTTTATCATCAACACTCAGGTACTCGTAAGTAATAAATAATATTCGAATATTATCTCAAAAATTGTGGAATTTAAAGACAAAATTGACTTATTTTTAGAATTTCTTCCAAAAATCAAGACTCCCTTTTATAGAATTTATTCCATAATTTTTAATAAAAAATATTTTACCTGATGAGGATTCCAGTCAGAGTCAAATATAACAACAGTGTCGGCAGATTGTAAATTTAATCCCAATCCTCCAGCTCTAGTTGACAGAAGAAAAATAAAATATTCACAGCGCATTTCATTGAATTTTTTTAATAGATCTCCCCGATCCTCGGCTTTAGTGGTGCCATCTAATCGTAGATAACCGAAACCTCTCCAACTCAAATAGTCCTCCATTATTGTCATGAGTTGGGTCATTTGGCAAAATAGAAGTACCCTATGGTTGGTTGCCTTCAATTTCGGTAATATGCGATCAAGTAATTCGAATTTTCCAGACGCCCGGAAAATATCAGGTCTACAAACATATTGCTAAAATGAATTTTTTTATTTAATAATAAAGAGGTTAAATTATTGTCTCGTCTTTAAAGCTAGTATTTACAAAAATGTATTTAATTTTTTAAAAATTTCAAAATAAATTAAGAATTACAATAAGTTTTTCAATTCATTACGAGTGCTGCAAGAAGCAGTTCTACTGTAAACATATTAGGAGAGAATAAAAAATAATTGGGCAGTTGAAGAACCGATAACTGGAACAGTATCTTGGGGTTAAGACAGGCTAAGATACTTCTGGGTAAATATAACCAGAAAAGATCGGAAGCCTGCATTTGCCTGAGCAAGAACAGGCTATATGTATTGTACTAGGCATAAAAAAATAAAAAGTACTGGGTATTGCCACCGACCTTCATATTAAACTGGATGACTATATGTCATCAGGCTCCACTCCTAATTTCTAAGCCGATATGGGTGAAAAAAAAAACGGTCGGTGCGCATGACAATTTAGAAGCCAGACTGTCAATTTCAAGCGTTCGTCACGTTTTCCACACTTCCACACGCGTACTACGATAAGTTATATTAATTTTTATTACCTAATAGGTGGTATTTTAATTATTATTAGTTATTGGAATACTTGTTTTAGCTGCGTATTAATCAAAGATCATTTTTAAGTGATTTTCTTAAATTAAGAGGTATTGTAGTTGAATGTAAAGTGTTAAATTTAATTTTGGTGTTACCTTTTAGTGCATTTGGATACGCACCTGTGGGCGCCAGCCTGTCAAATATTCGCTACTTAGGGTCGATTCCACCGTTGTGTTAAACGGAGATTAAAATGACATTGTTAATGTAAAAATGTAATTTTAAACTTCGTTTAACACAACGGTGGAATCGGTCCTAAGAACATGCATCGCTATGTGGCTCTATTTTGTTGATCGGCTTTGGACTTCTAGTTTAATGGCGGTTTTCCACTAAACGGATAAAACAAAAACAAAACACAAACTCGTGCCGAAAAAAACAGAACTCCAACTTTTTGTAAATTTTTTAAAGACTGGCGTGTTTTACGACAGTTGGAGTTTTGTTTGTTGAGTCCCGCTAGGAAGCGGTAACATCAAAAGGTTTCAACGTATTTTGAAACTCGAGTCTATTTACTGGAAGCGGTTGCGCGTGTTATGTAGTCTAAATGTTGTATAGTTGAGTAAATAAGTTATTTTTTTTAAATAAGTAATTTATTTTGAAACGGTTAAAACATTATATAGCCCTAACCGCTGGGTAGTCAAACTAACCTTAGCCTGGGTACCAAGCCACAGATGATAGAAGGGCAACGAATCGGCTGATTTACTAGCAGGAGAAGGAGCCCCAAATTCTTTTATTGGCCTAGAACCCTTATGTGGTATCACAAAGACAACCATCAGAACATGCACAAAGCAGTGGATGTTTAAAAAATCTCAAGAGGATAGAGACAGGATAAAGAGTTCTTAACAGGACCATCGCCTACTCATCGAGCATCTACGAAGCCTTAAGGTGATTACAGCACCCTCTTATAATTTTCGGACAAGGATATCTCAGAAAGTAATTTTTTTAGAAAATTTAAATTTGGGCAAAATAAATTAGGCAATAATATCTAGAATATGCATGTTTTTTAAAGTTTTAATTCCTTCCAGTTTCCGAGAAAAAAAATCAAAGGGCTTTAAATTTTTAATAATCATAATGAAAATAAATGCATTCCTCAACAGCAGTATTCCTAATATAATCCCCAAATAAAAGCTCTTAATCTCTTGTTAATAATTTTTTAAAATTCGCCGAAATTAGTGGCTAAAACGCCTCGTTAAGTGCTTCTTTCTAGTGAAACGCGTCTGTAACTGTCATATCGTACACTCTGAGTCATCATTCGTTTCTTGCAATGATTTACACCAGTTTAAACCAGAAAATAGCACTTAACAAGGCGTTTTAGCCACTAATTTCGACGAATTTTAAAAAATCATTAACAAAAGATTAAGAGCTTAAATTTAAGGATTATATTAAGAATAGTACTGTTGAGGAATGCATTTATTTTCATTATGATATTTCCAAATTTAAAGCCCTTTGATTTTTTTTCTCAGAAACTGGAAGAAATTAAAATTTTAAAATATACGCATATTCTAGATATTATTGCTTAATATACTTTGCCAAAATTTTAATTTTTTAAAAAAATTACTTTTTGAGATATCCTTGTTTGAAAATTATAAGGGGTGCTGTAATCACCTTAATAGGAAAAATACTATAGTACTAGTAGGCCTATTAACAGGGTATTGTAGGCTTAACAAACATATGTGTAATATCGGTCTGGGATTCCCCACTCGACCGTTCACTGTTGGGTTCTAATTAACAGTGCTGTTCCAAAAGTGGCGCTGGGAAACAGTAACAAAGCCTACACAGAACACGAGGCTAATGACCTTAGCAGTCGATGCCGATGACACCAAATTAAAAAAATATCGGTCTGACAGGAGAGACCTTGTGCCGATTCTGTCAGGAAGAGGAGGAAAGGTCAGAACACGTATTGTGCTACTGCTAAGGTCTAGCAAAACTAAGATTCCTTACACTTGGAGAAGAAAATCCAAGTGCAACTAGCTATACCGAAGAACTACTTTCCAGTCTTTGGAATCTACTACAAAAGACCGAATTAGACAAGGTTCTCTAACAATAATTAAAGGATATCCATAATAGATCTGAAAAGGTTGAAATCACATGGCCCACAGTCCTAATTAAATCTAATCTACATTATATAAGTTTATTTATTAGTAGATTCACAGTTTAAAAAATATTATCTTTAAACTGTGGTAGAGCCAGACTGTGACGACTGTGTTAAGTCCAAATATTGTCCTTTTTAGGTTTTTATGATGTCACACATTTATCTTTTAAACTACTTTTATATGCATTTTCAGGTTGAACCGATCTTAAAAAATAAATATACAAATATAAAATACTGAAAAAATGTGCTCTGATTTCCTCGCGACAACCAGTGGAAAAGGATCGAAAACAAAAACAAAACTGGAACAAAATGTAGCCCGTTTGATGGAAACAAGAGTTTTGAGTTTGTCTTAGTTTTGTTTGTTTTTCAAGTTTCAGAAAACACAAACAAAATATAAACTCAACTGTCCGTTTAGTGGAAAACCGTCTTAATATATAGTTCAGTGGATAATGCCGACTAAAAGGACACCTTAGTAAACTGAGAGTAATAGAAGATAATGAGTGTAAAGAGGAGGACGACGAAACCTCCAGTCATATTCTGACTGAATGTGTAACTCTAGAATCTAAGGATACTCTACAGGAGCATATCAAATAGAAGAGGGAGATTTACCTGACTTGAGGCCCCTCCAAATCCTACACTTTCTTGAGAAGATAGGATTGGAAGGGTCGTTATAGGCATTGAGACATTTCCTTGCTATATTAGCGAAAGAAGGGACCACAATAAATCTTGTGGGTCGCAGTGTATTAACACCTAATTCCCAACATCACTCTTAGAATAGCTCGCCACTCCACTATTACGTTTTGAAAGGTAGGGTATTTTTTCTAATCTTACAAAACTATTCAAAAGGCATAAAAATGATTAAATATAGGTAAAATGGCGAGTGATAGCGAGTGACAGTAAAATATAAATCACAAACTACAAATGTAGAATGTGTCAAGAACAAAACACTTGGTTCTAACATCAAATTTGTGCAAATAAATAGAAGTAAATCCAAATGTCCGCTCTTTAAATTTTATATTCTGTGAATTCGAAAATTATTACAAATTTTGACATGCCGCCATATTTATTTAGAATAGACGAATCAGAAAAAATTCGCAATTAACGATTCGCTACTGCATGAAATATTAATGTAACAGTAAGAATGATCATTTAATAAAAAGAAGATAATAATAATAATCACGTAACGCTGCTTTCGACCAATCGAGTTGACTGAATTATGTTAATAAGTAAGTGGCAATACCACAGTGTTGTAGTATTGCTGTGGTACATATTGTTACGCAGGTTTTTGGTATCTCAATTTATTTCAACTCAACGTTTACAATAACTATACAGCTGATAACATAAACATATAACGTCTATTATAAAACTGAAACTCTGACGTCAGGATCGTCGATTTATATAGTTCGCCTCAACCTTCTAGAACCTTCTCGAAAATCCGGATTTTTCTTGACACGGAATCACATTTCAAGACATTTCTGACTATTCTATTTTCTTCATTTACTCGTACTTTTACTTATGACGACCGCAGCACACTGTAGGGTGATGGGTGACATTGCACTTCTTTTTGTAGTTGTACGTTTCCTATAACAGCCGCAGGTTATGCAGGGTGCTGGGGGGCTATTTTCAAACTCGAGAGAATTCATTTCTCTCAAGAGAAATGTCATACGTCAACGTAAAACCGTATTTTTAGGGCTCTTAGGGCCAGTGTGAACTCACTGACTGTTTCTCTTGGTTTATTTAGAGAGAATTAAAATCTTCCTAAGAATTTTAATCCTCGATGCCTTTAAAAACAACATTTCCACATTGACGTATGACATTTCTGATGAGAATCTTGGGAGAAATGAGTGCTCCCATACTTTGAAAATAGCCCCCCAGGGTAACAATATGAATTACCATTATTTCGATACAAACTGTTGTCTGTCAGTCATAATCTTTGTCATATAGTTGTCATCATACTCATTATATTCTCTTTCTAAATATAATTTCGTGGTGCGCAAATTTTTTTTTTTTGCACTTCTAACTTATGATAACCCCAATGTTTAAAAAATAAAGAGTGATAAATAAAAAATGTTTCTGATGTAGGCCATGACCGACAAAGACAGGGATACGAGCCATGTTCGCAATAACTATGCATGAGTCTGAATTAAACCCAAACTGAACTTAAAAAGAATAAGAAGAGTCTACTTTAGAAACATTTGTTGTTGATCGCGCCATATGTCTCGTGCTTCGCACTCATTTTACATTTAAAAATAATTTAATATTATCGCTTATTATATTATCTTTGATAATACTTA